GGCATACTCCCTGTAATGAATTATACATGTATGGGGACTCTAGATCATATATAAAAGGGTGGGCTTTTTGAAGAGTTGAAGAATAGAAGAACGTAGTGAAAAACTCTCAAAATATTTTGCACAGAGGAGGAGGTGTGAAGGCCTCTTTTGGTTTAAAATTAACAATTTGCAGATATTTTTAGGGTAAAACGTGTTCGGTGGACCTTCTCTGGACAGTGTTCCCCTTTTCAGGCGGTAACTGCTAAAATTTATCGCCTGTAGCACCACTCATTACCGCCTAAAATCCCTTGGATTTCTTGAAAATTCAACAGGTAAAAGAAAAAATATATATATAGTTGTTTCACCGACATAATCGGTATTTTATCCTTGTAAAGGAATAAATAAACAGATTAAAAGATAAACAGCGCAGGCTATGGGTTGTAAGTACTATCTGTGGCTTTCGAACCTCAAGGCAAGATCCATGAGTCTTTGGTGGGCTTTCTGCCACCATTCCATCATGGCAGATGTTATTTCTTCGCACTTGCATCGGTAGTTGTTTACGTTCAGTTTCACGATGAAGCGACTATGAACGTTGTTCTCATTTCTCTCCGTTAGCAATGCAAGAAGTCACGAATGGAAACAGTTACAAGTAAAGTAATTTTAGACGTTACAATTATTTGATTTGCAAGCAATGTGGGTAAATCAGTTCCATGAACTTCCCACCTAACTATCGGCTTTAGAAAATGGGTGCTGCTAAATTGACCAACATTCACGTGTGGTGATCAAAAACTTCATCCTCGTCATGAAATGCTCCACATTCAGGTCAAAAGTGTTTAAAATCTATTTTCAGACAACGTTTTGAGAGAATCCTTGACAATAAAACCCTTCCAGAACATGAATGAAAATGAATATGCAGCGATTTCGTTTGGTTTTGAGAGACGACGGCTGATTTTGTAGTGACACTTCATGTAAGCACAGTGAGGATACCCTGGAAGTTTTCTGTGACTTTAGGGCAAGAGAATTAAGACAAAGAATAAAACAAAAATGAAAATGCTGTTTGATTTCATATGACATCTAAAGCCAAAGGTGTAAAATTAGTAAACTGTAAGGCATATTAGATGGAGGTCTTTTCAAAGAAAATGTTTTTATTAGGAAACGACAACATGGGCGATGAAGTGGCTTTGCAACTCGAGAATGAAACACCTGTCTTGGAAAGACAAGAATGGGGCAAATTTCAATTCCATGTAATGTACAGAGCAGACCCAATAAACAAGGCTGTGATTCACCTGATTGCTTTACCGGACTAAAATGCTCTTTCACCTGTTGTACTGAAAACAAGGGAGAACCCTGTCTGGATAGAAAGATTTCTGCAGGACTTTCCTCTTGGGTCAATACCATTTTCTATGGAAGGTTCATGAAAGGCTTATCAGTACCTTTCCTGTCAAAAGTGGTATATAAAGGGCTAGGTAAGGGTTTGTACCTCAGGGCAGAGCCTCCCCTTGTGAAACTTTGTCAAGTATCTCTGCTCCCCCCTCCCATCTTTATGCCTTACCCCTCTGGGTAGAGGAAATTATAAGGCTTTGGAGGGGAATAATTGGAACAATACCTCGTGGCAAATAATATTGGCAAGAATGAGCGTGTGACTACATTTTTCCAGATGATTTTCAAGATGATGTAGGACCTTTACCATCAAAAAGAACAAAAACCACAGCTAAGGCAAAAGTTAAAGTGAAAGAAGAAGCAAAGAGTAAGGAACCAGTGACTTTAAAAAGGAAGGAAAGGTACATGTTATAGCAAATTAATAAAAATTTATCCAATCAAGTAGATGGTGGCATTGCCTAAAGATGCCTAACATACATGTACACTGTCATTGTGAACTTGGTGGTCGTGCTTTCTGCTTATACATTTTCATTAATTTTAACCAATCTGTTGGTCCCAGTGAGTGTGCACTCAAAAAAGTCTCACAGGGAAAGCTTTGCGTAAGATATGCCTTTTTTGGCAGGGAAGGATATGTGATCTGTAATTTGGTCAAATTTACAGAAATTAAAAAAAGCCATTGTGCAAACAGCTGTGAACATCTTGCTGCATCTTGTTAATGTATTGTTTTCAAGCTGATTCCAAACTTTCTGGTTCAAAACTTGGCAATTTTTACCATACTTTAAATGCTTTTTCTAGTTATGGTATCAGTATTAAAATTAGGTAACCTCCTGAATTCAAGATTTTATACATTGATACTTATTTATTTATTTAACTTTGCCTAACTAAATACTTAGCTTATATATAGCAAAAATTCATTAGGTGGGGAGACCAATACAGTGTAGCCAATTACAGTGGATCCCAGGGTATCCTGGGATACCAGCAAAGTATATCAACAAAGATTGTTTTATAGCATTGTGCATGATTTCTTTCTGTTTATTTCTTGTTAGGTTGTCTAGAGATGAAAAGCTTTACCAAAAAGAGCTGGAGGCTGCTTTAGAAGCCTCTATAAAAGAGTCACAACAGTCTCCTGAGAATGTTAGCAGTAACGGCAGTGCAAATGATGATGAGCAAAGAGAACTTTCGGACGATGAAGTAATGATTTTATCCAAACCAAAGAAACCAAGATTACTTCCATCTTCTGACACAGAAGACAATAATAAAGAGAACAGTGGGTGAGTGTATTTGCTACATTAATGTGATAACCAGAGTGGCAGTTCAGTGGCCCAATGGTTAGTGCATTGGACTTCAGATCAAGCAGTGTGTGTTCAAGTCCTGGCTGGGTACATTGTATTGTGTTCTTGAGCAAGACTCTTTACTCTCACAGTATCTCTCCCTATCCATGTGTGTAAATGGGTACCATATCTAACTTTAGTGCTGGGGGTAACCCTGCTATGGACCAGCATCCCATCCAGGAAAGAGTAGAAATAGTGGATTATGTACTAAAGGCATCTATGGTTTAGTATCGATCCATACCCTCGATCGACACTCTGTCAACACCTTGATTGACACTCAATCAACACTCCATCGACATCTCGGCTGACAGTTGGTTGAGAGTTGACTAATTTTCGTTCGATTTATATGAGTCAGTTGATACTCGGCCAACTATCGACCGACTGTTGATCAAGTGTCAATAGAGTGTCGACCGAGTGTTGACCAAGTATCAATCAGCACGTTGATCAAGTATTATTGAGTATTGATCGAGATTATCGATTGATACTTGACCGCAGATGCCTTTAAAAGTACACATGATCCCAAATAGTGCTAGTCACTTCATGTGACACTGAGAAATCAGGATAAGCTCTCGTGGCATGGGCCACTGGCGTGATGCAGACTTACCTTCCATGTGATAACGTGACAGCAGTAAAGTTCATTTTCTTTACTTTGGCTAAAATTCTTATCACTGCCTGGGTGAAGGGAGGGGAAAAGGAAAGATTTCAAAGATCTTGGACTGAAAGAAGCATTGTTTTCATTTCCTACTAAAGAAAATTGATCACAGAACAGAACAGGAAAGATATATTTGAGCCAGGTTATTTCAACATGCCCAGTTCAAAACAATGAAATGAATTAATATTTAGTTTGTTGGTTTTCAGCAATGATTCACAAACAAACTCTGAAAAGAAGGACCCAAATATTGAAGAGGAGGAAAGTAGCAATGATGACTTAAAACCAAAACAAAGAGGAAAGAAATCAGGTGCGAGCAAAGCTGCTGTGAAACAAGAACAAGCCGGAGATGACGATCATGGTACAATGTCATTGAATTTTTGTCAATTTGGTCTTCACCTCACTGCACCTCCATTGATCTGTACAATTTCTATCTCCCATGCAAAGGACACTGTAGTTAAAATCTGGAATTACGGCACACAAGTGTGATAGGACTTGTGAAGGCAAATTGTGATAGTACGGGCTGGGCTTGAAAAAATCTTGAATTCTAGCTTGCCCTTGGGACAAGTAGCTCTCAAATTTTGTTTACCCT